CCTCCCCATTGGCTGCGGCCCGCGCCGCCTCCCCACTGGCGGGCGGCTACCCGGTCACACCCCCTTGGGCCGGAGGCCTCGCGCCGCGGCCAGCGTGGTGTTGGCGCCATCTTGGTAGTGGCAGGAGCGAAGACGGCACGTGGTACCTGCGCAAGGGCGGTCTCGGTGTAGGGTCGGCGGTGAGCGTAGCGGACTCAACGGCGTCCGGTGCGAGAAGGCTGTGGCATCCCTGTGCATTATTCCTGCGGAGAAGGACCGAGAGTTGGTCGTGAAGAAACAGCCTGACAAAGCCAAAACCAGGGAGACGCTAAAACGCGCCGACCCGCCTTGCCCTCCGTCGGCGGTTGGGCTGCTGCCCGGCCGGGAGGCGGGCGAGACGCACCGCCGTGGGGGCTGCCCAGCCAGACCTTCGCAGCAACTAGCGGAGGCCTGTGCGACTGAGAGCTGTTTGCTTTGACTTTAATTTAAATGGAAGTGGTCGCAGGTGTTAAAACTCCGAAGAAAGCGGGTCCTCCGGGGTGGGGCATCGGGTTCTGTAAGGTGCGTCTCTGTCGTCCTTGGCTGTAGTTGTTTTCCTAACTGTATAGTATTCCGCTGGATAAATGTACGTATTCACACAGAGAATTGATCATTTACATAGCCTACTTTCTGCACGTTATGATGTTTTCACATCTTAAAAAGCCTTCCTGGCTGGGGCGAGGTCGCCCCCCCGCCGGCGCTGGCCGGTTAGTTCTTAGGGACAGCGAAGGGCCCACAGGAGCATGCCTAAGCAAACTGTCCAACCCAGAGCCAGGCCTTCTGCACCTGGCCCCAATCCCAGGAGGCAGTATTCTTCTTAACCTTCCCATGGCCGGGTGTCAGGCAACTAAGGACCACCCCTGTAGCCCACAGTCCGCCAAAATTCCTCAAACCTCAAAGCTTCCTCTCACTCCTATCTTCTGTGTCCCCGCCAGCTTGGTGGTCCTTTCACAGTCTGCCCTGCCTCCTGCGTCTGAGACTCTGGATGTAATAAACTTTGTTTTTCCTGAGCCTCTCTGTGCCTCCCCTTGTGACCACCTCATAAAGATTACAAAACAGATTTTATTTTATTACGACTATGGCAGCTTAAGGTTAGGATTGAGGCCTCCGAGCCTGATTTGCACACAGCATGGGGCTGGGGAACCAGCAGTGGACGGAGGGCCATAGGGTTTTCACCCTGAACCACAGGGGTAGGGAGAGTAGACTAATGCTGACTCATTCCTGTTGAGAATGAATTGTAGGCAGCCAATCAAATAATGACGCAAGGCTTTCTTATCACCTTGAAAGAGCCGTTCTAGATTTGTTTCAACAAACTTTACCATATATCATGTTTATGCATACCATGAAAGAACAAACAAGTGAAAAATGCATTGAAGGTATTCTGTGCCCTATCTTCAGAAGAAGGGTGAATTAGAAAATCAACTCAGTTATCCTGAGTAGGAAAACCCAGTTCTTCCCTCCTATGTGAATCTTCCTCCTGAGGATCTCCTCTACTTCTGACACTTCTGGTCCCCAGATGTGTAGGGAACTTTCCCCCAAGCAATTCTCTGTGACACCAGCTGGGGGTCCTGCATTTCAGTTCACTTCAGAGGCTATTTATGGGGACACAGTGTCAGAAGGGCTCAGTCTCACCACACTCTGTCTCCCACTTCAGATGCCAGATCACCCACAACTTCTGTCAACAAATCAGGAGTTCCCACAACTCCCCCCTCAGGTTTGATTAATTTGCCAGAGTGGCTCACAGAAGTCAAGGAAACACATTTACCAGATTATTAAAGGCTGTGATAAAGGATACAGATGAGTAGCCTGATGAAGGGATATACAGGGGAGTCCCAAGCACAGGCCCTCTGTCCTCATGGAATTGGGGCACATCACCCAGGTGTTGTGTTCCCCAAACTGGAAACTGAATACTGTATTTTCGGGATTTTACAGAGGCTTCATGACAAAGGCCTGATTGATCATTAGCTCCATTTCCAGCCACTCTTCCCTCTCAGGAGGATGGGACAGAGCTGAAAATGCCAAGTTTCTAATGATTTCTTAGTCTTTCTGGTGACCAGCAGAGCCACCCAAGGGCCCACCCAGAGTCACCTCGTCAGAACAAAAGGTGCTCCTAGTGTTCTTATCACTTAGGAATTTATAAGAGTTTCAGGAGCTCTGTGCCAGGACCAGGGGGCAGAGACCAATATGTATCGTCTCACAGATGGTTAGAAGAGCTGAGTCTCAACAGCCAGGCTTTCACACAATATCATCCTGCCAGGCATGAAGATCTCTATGATGCAGGAGGACCTCAAAGAGCGCCCCACTGTCAAGTCTTGGGTTGTCTTCCCGACCACTGGGAACTGCACACTTTCAGACTTGGGTGCAGACTCTGACCACCCTGCATATCTGCTGCCAGGCCCAGCCTGGATCTGGCGTTGCTCAACTTGCCATAAATGCCCACAAGACTCCACGAAGGGTGATACAAACCGGGCAACCTCTGCTCGTCCTGTGGGTTGCAAGAAATGGCCACAAATTCTCCCTCACCATCAAGAGATGGAGGCTATTTCTCCATCCCTTCGCTTTGGGCCAGCCCATGGGGCGTGAGTAACGTGATACAAACAGAACCTTGAAAGGAGCTTGTGCTTTAGAGCTTGCAATTCTGAGTTCCCCAAGGAACATACCTGAGCCAGCCCGCCTGAGCATGAGTCTACGTGGAGGAAAGGTGGGCACCCAGCCAACAGTCCCAGCCCCTGACGGGCAGCCTATCCACCACCAGAACCTGGGAATGAGGCCACCCTCGTGCAGCGGTAGGTAGGAGTGGGACTGGTGAGAGCGGAGGAGCTGCCGTGGACCCGCAGAGCTATGCGCCAAGCAAACGGTTGTGCTTTAAGCCACTAGGGTCTTGTGATGGTGTGTTACAGAGCAATAGATAACTGATAAAGCCCTTTACACATGATCTCTCATAGCAGGGGCCGTCAGTATCATTCCAAGTTACAGACAGGAAACAAGGCACGGGTTACAGGATTTGCCCGAGGACACATAGCTGATATACAGCAAAGACAGGAGAAGAACTCAAGTCTGTCTGATCCCAAGCTCTTCAATGGGAGAAACGGGAACATTGAGGGGAAGAGCCTCCTGGGTTTGCATTCCAAATAATTTCTCCTGCTCACCTTCCCCCCTCCCAGAGGCAAGGCACTGGGAGAAAGAGAACCCAAACTAGACTGGCTCCCTCCCTCCTGCAACCACCTTGCGTCCTCAATGCCTGCACTTCTCACCTCTTCCTCGCACTTCTGTCCAGCAAATGGGGACTCTGCCCCCTTTCATGGCAATTTCTGTATCGAAATGACCAAGAATAGAAGACAGAATGTGAAGATGAATATTTCCTTAACATTGTCCGAGGTACCAGGAAAATACTGAGAGCAAGACTGAATCTCTTGGGGCGCCTGGGTGGCTCAGTCGTTAAGCGTCTGCCTTCAGCTCAGGTCATAGTCCCCGGGTCCTGGGATCGAGTCCCGCCTTGGGCACCCTGCTCAGCGGGGAGCCTGCTTCTCCCTCTGCCACTCCCCCTGCTTGTGTTCCCTCTCTCTTTCTCTGTCAAATAAAGAAATAATAATAAAAAAAAGACTGAGTCTCTTACAGACCCAGAACCCCATGTCCAGCCCCGGATGGGATACCACTGAAAGGCTTTTACAGCACAAGAATCCATACAGGCAAGTGCCTTGGGGATGCTCCTCAAAGCCCTAATGGCAGGAGAGGCCGCACCCCAGCAGCCTCAGGGACACCAGAGGGGTCTGCCCTCTGTGAGAGCCATCCTGTCTCCGACAAGTGCACCTTCTTCGCCTCAAAGTGAAGCCCACTTTGGCCTGTCCACCTGCCCATAGGCTGTGCTGACTGCCTCTGACAGAGACTCTAGACCACACCAAGAGCCGCTTGTTTTAAGCACCTTTTGGATTATTTGAAGGGGGGAGGTTATGAAGTTGGGGGAACACCATTTCTACTTGGCCATGAGTTAGTCCGAGAAAAGCTTTTCTCTCTTCATTTCCCCAAGCTGCTGACAGGGATGGAGCCCTGATTATCTTTTTTTTTTTTTTTTAAGATTTTTTTTTTAATTTATTTATTTGACAGAGAGAGAGAGAGAGCACAAGTAGGCAGAGAGGCAGGCAGAGGGAGAGGGAGAAGCAGGCTCCCTGCCAAGCAGGGAGCCCGACGTGGGGCTCGATCCCAGGACTCTGGGATCATGACCTGAGTGGAAGGCAGGCGCCCAAACAACTGAGCCACCCAGGCGCCCCCTGGTTATCTTAATTAGCAATACAATCAGACTTATTCACGTTTTCCTAATGCTTGACAAATTCTAGAGTGCAGACACAACAGGTCCATAATCTTGGAAATCACTAAAAGAGTTTCTCTAAGCAGCTGAAGTAATAAAAGAGCTTTTGTGGAAGCAGCAAGCACCTAGCAGGCTGCAGGCTGCGTGCTGCGCTCAGAACCCCTGGGCGTATGCAAAGCCCCGGCCGCGAGGCCTGCCGCCCTCTCTTGGCTTGTGTCTTGCCCGACCTGGGTTTTGTGTGCTTGTAGCTGTGTAGGTAAAGCCAGGCTAGGGTGCTCATGCTCACCTCCAGTTTCCTGTGATGACACCAAGAGTCTGCATTTCTATCTTCAGGGTTGTCGTGTTGCAGAAAAAACTGGCCAGAGGTGTTTGGTGCTGTGATGGAGTCTGAATCCAGAACACGGAGGTGTTCGAGCTGAGGAGGGAGCAGAATTCACAAGAACCTCTCCTGGAAGCACCCAGACCCTTCAAGAATGAAAAGAGACCGAAGAAGAGCTTCCGGCTCCGTTTCCCCATTTATAAAACTGGCCTGATAGATGCTCTACATTCTGCTGTTGTCTGCACATTCAGGTGTGTGTGCCAAAGT